CCTCAGAACTTGCTGTCTCTCAGCGATAGCACATTTGACCTGGTCTCAACTGAACCTTGTGCACCGCGTTGGTGGCTTCTTCTTTTCCCTTCATCACAGCTGCTCGATTTGCATCAATCCCATCACGGTGCAATTGCAGCTCGTCAATTATCTGCCACAATTCTTCAGACTCCTGTTTTCTCCAGCCTTCCGATAACGATTCTACCCTGTGCACTGGTGCTTCCACCGCATGTATTCACTTTGGTGCATATCCCATCAATGTTCGAAAGTAGAGCAATTCATTGACTCAACGATCCGAGAGTTTGCAGCCAGAACTGCGTGCCCCAACTCACGTATCCACAGTTCGCTCTGTCTATTAGTTAGCCTGCTCAAGCTATCTAACAATTCACGGTTCGTGAGCTCAACCAGTCCGTTGCTTTTTAGGCGTGTAGGCTGGTGAACAAACCCATGCTATCCCTCGATCATGTGCCATCTGCCGATGATGTTGCTCTTTGAATGCCATTCCCCTGTCAGAAAGGCAGATTCTGGGGATGGCAAATCGGGCGCAAATTGCACTCAGCATGATCAACACGTGGTGGTGATCCGCAGCTGCAACTGGTGTTACTTCACACCACCGCGTTGCATAGCTTACAATGTCTAGCAAATACCGGTAATCACCCACTAGTGTGAACGGGCCCAGAAAGTCCCATGCAATAATGCCAAACGGCTCCAATACCAAACGTGTTTCTCATTTCGCTTGGCTTATATTTGGGCCGTATTTCTGACAGGCTTCACAGGATTTGACGTTGTCACTGACGTCTCTTGGCATAGTAGGCCACCAGTACGTCCTCATCAGTTGCGTCAGAGTCATGCGTGCACCATAGTGGCCCGCACCATCATGAACGGCACTGAGAACACGTTTTCTGTCCTCCTGACGTACCACAAGTTGCGGATCGCCCACAGAATTCTTGTGGTGTAGCTTCCCATGCATAACCGCAAAACGGTCAGCCCGTCGCTTGATGAATTTCTGGTCCTTTTTTGGTACTCTGGTCGAAAATCTTCAGTTGCGATGTACTTCTGCATGTCATCATACTATTCGTCACTGCCAGGCACCACAATCATCACATACAAATCTTCATCTATTGCATCTTCCTCCACCTGAATCATGGGCAATCTTGAGAGAGCATCAGCGTTCCTGTTCAGTTTCCCAGGCCGGTACACGATCTCAAAGTCGTATTCCGCAAGAATCGTGCACCATCGTCCGACCCTTGACGACGCCATTTCGGGAAGCTTCAACAATCCTTTCAGGGGAGCGTGTTCTGTGCAGACAGTGATACGTCGCCCCAGAAGGTAATGTCTCAGTTTCTTGAAAGCCGCAACCACAGCCATCAGCTCTTTTTCTGTCACGCCATAATTTTTCTCTCCCCTTGTCAGCGCTTGCTGAAGTAGTATGCGGATTGAGGTAACCCGTCTGATATCAGCTGGTTGAGCTCCGCTCCCAAACACGTATCTGATGCATCAGTATGCAACAGAAAATCCTTGTCAAAGCGTGGTACAGTCATCACTGGAGATGTCATTAGTGCTTGGCGTTGCACGGGACCCCCATTGAAATCCGTATCCGTTGTGCATCAATACACGCAAAGACTGTGCGCTTTTGCAAAGCCTTTAATAAACCTCCTGTAGCAGTTCAGAAACCCAAGAAATCTCTGGACACTCAAGGTGTTGCGAGGCTTCTCCCATGTATTGGTCTTTTCGATCTTTCCTGCCTCATTTTCGAGACCCTTTGCTCTGACCAAATGGCCAAGGAGTATGATGGAACTCTGCAGAAAACTGCATGTTTTCGGATTCAAACTCATCCCTGCCCTTTCTTAGCGTTGAAACACTTCTCAACGTGCTCATGTGATCCTCAAAACTGTCTGAGACAACCCCACAATCGTCAAAAAACACTTCCACTTCAGTCCCAATGAGTGGACCAAAAGTTCTCTGTTTGAGTAGGGCATAAACGGGGGCGCATTGATGATACCGAACGACATAACTGTGTAGCGGAACTTGCCAAACGGCGCAATAAACGCCGTATAATCACCAGCACGTGGTGTAAGTTCCACCACATAATAGCCACTGAAACCATCGAGCACTGAGTAGTATTTTCCTCCAGCCAGCCTATCCACACACGCCTCGGCATTGGGTATTGGCCACTGAATTGGAACAGTTGCCTCATTTAGTCGACAGTAGCTGTGGCACATTCAATATTCGCCAGACCTCTTCTAGGGGAAAATCTCCCCTGCGCCCCATGGAGCATAATAATCCTCTATCATTTTCGCTGCTAATAACTCAGCGCAGCGAGTTCTAGCAAAGGCCTCGATTTCTGGTGGCCAACGTTGACTCTTTCTTGTGCACATGGGCTCGGTCCCAAGCTGTAGCTCAATGTCACATTGCACCAGATTTGTTCGGCCTAATTCGCTCAATTCATGAGCAAACAGGTCTCCGTAGCGACACACTAAAGTGTCGAATACTGATCGCTGCTCAGGTGTTGCTGCGCCACCAACATTCAAGGTGTCGACATTATCCACTATGACGTGGAAACAATCAACAAACGGTGACCTGCAATAAATTGCATCAGCTGTCACCGGTGGTACAACACGACCTCCCTGTGAACATCCCACAGGAGCCCCATACTCTCAGAATTCATCCCGCCGGTTCTTTTGGAGTCATCAGCTGGTGCATTGCTCTCAATTCCTTCTCCACAAACATCATCCAAGGCGATGCTCAATGTAATCTCTTCGAACAGAGCAGCCAACACAGCCTTGTGGACAGCAGTCACTGGAAACGGTTGCCTCTTGATTGTTTGTCCGCTTGGTGTTCTGGCTGACATCTTTTGCATCTGCTTCCATTTCTGGTAGGAAACTGTCATGAACCAGTCCAAAGTCACCATTTCACTCAGAAAGCGTATTTTTTTCCTCGGGTTCATCTTGCACGGGCAGCATATCGGTCAGCACATGTCGTTCATCTTCATTCCACTGGGACCGAAAACACGCAATCCACATGTTTGGGCTACATCTGGTTCCATCAAATTCAGCATTGCCCCAGTGTTAGTGATAACCCCTTGGCAGGCTTGATCAGCAATGTGGCAGTCAATTCTGATTGCCTTTTCGGTTGTCAACTTGTTGGCCTCAGCTGTCGTCACTTCTGGTGCTCTTGTGACTGGTTGTGTACCTGCGGCTGGTTGTGCACTGCTCATAGCTTGTGGCTGTGAGCTGCCTTTCACATCCATAGCTTCTCCTTTTGGTTTTGCTTTCTTCGGCCTATCCAAGGCAATCCCAGTGCACAATTCACGTCGCATTGTTGGGGATACTTGGAGCAGCTGTCCCAACAAAATTGAAACTGGTAGATTGAACAAAGCTTCTGATACTTGGAACTTGGGTAACCCAAGTTGGGTTTCTCCCGGCCACCCACAATTTCTGTCAATGGAGTACACTTCTTTCGTTCACCCACACGCTTGACACGAACTCTTTTCTTGCTTGGTTCTTTTTTATCCTCCTCAATTGCTTCTTCACCAGCAAATGCTTCCAGTTCCATTTCATAGCATCATGGCTTCCCTCATCATTCACACGACGACTTGATGATTGTCGCTGATGGCTTTGAGATGGGTCATTAGGACCTTGATTGTCCTCAGCTCGGACCTCTTATCTTGTTTCGCACCCGGCCCTCCCAACCTAAAAAAGTGGATTTCGGTTGAGGGAGAAAAAGGGATGGTGTGGAAGGAAGTACTGGATTAGGGTGCTGACTCAGGGCTGAGTCACAATAGAAAAGTGGCGTAAAGTATGTGCGAAGCGAAAGGGCAAACTGTTAAGTACGGGGACCTCGGATATGTAAGGAGACAGTGACAGACACCTTTTAAGTTTGCAAATATCTTGTTGTGTTGGGAACATGACTGGGTGAATTCAGGAGACCGGTCAGGTGGAAATCAAGTTCATATGGCCCTCGCACTTCAGGCGGCTAGCACAACAACATGTGCATGAGCACCCTGCGTCCCACGTGCGACATTGCGACCGGGGAGCATGGTGGCTGAAGTCGTGGATCGATCATCACGTTGTCGCAGGTACCGCACTCGCAGTCGCCTCAAGTCTTGCGATGCACAGTGCGGCACTGCCACACTGCCACACTGCCACACTGCCACACTGCCGTGGTGCAATGTGCACACTGCATCATGCATCAACCCACTACATTTGCTGCAAATCTGGCCATTATCTTCCTCAGAAACATGTTGAAAGCTGTACCGTGCTGTCAAGCAAAGTTGTTCGAGTCATCCTGGCTTGACGCTAGGGGGGTAAGATTTGTTGCAGAGGGAAAGAGAGAAAGAAGCGTGTCATACAAAGGGCACCCCCACCTAAGCAAAGGGGCCGGGGCCGGGTCGGAGCTCAGCGCCAAAAATTTGACTTTGGGAAGCTTGCCAGGGGCGGCTCCATTCATTCGTTGGTGCCAGTTTGGGGGTGCTTTGGGGGCGACGGTCGCCTCTGTTCCACAAACGAAACAGTGGCATTGCGTTTGCAAGGCGATGCCTAACACTCCGACGCCCGCATTGCCAATGAGCGCCCGCCATTGCCTTGCAAGGGCAGGAAACGAGCGGAAGCCACAGCCATCCAGATTTGGGGGCCACCGTTGCCAAACGGATCGGCAAATGGTTCCTAACTACAGCACCCTCGCCCGAGTATGCTGCCCAATCGCCGCCGCATTCCACTGAGAAAATTCATGGAGCACTTCACAATCACCCAATGCAAACAAGACGAATGCAAGCTGCAGCGAGACTGGCAAAGTGCTGCCACACTCGCCACGATCAAGAATCCCTCCCATCTTCCAGTTCAAAATTTCTAGGCCACAGTGTTTCCCCCCACAAGCCAAAACTGCATCCCTCGGCCTTTTCGCGCCCCCACAGAGATGGCACTTTGTGAGGTCTACAACCCCCACAAGCAAGGTCATTGTGTAGGGCCTCGCCCCCAGTGCTTAAGCAGCTGTCAGCCCCATCAGGCGATGTACTTGAGAAGCACGCCGTTGTTTCCAAGGACGAAGCCGTTCTTGCCATTCTTGAAGTTGATGTCGTACAGGTTGGCTGGGATGTCATCAAAGCTCCGGTCACGCTTCCACGTCTTCCCGCCATCCACCGTCTTGAAAAGGCTGCCGCTGCCGCCGCAGGCATAGCCTTCCTTTTCATTCCTGAACCTGAATCAACACAAATAACGCAATGCCCACATTCAAACAACCAAGCCAAAAGATTCTTTGCCACTTGCACTTGCATCCATGTCGCACTCAAGTTCGAGGGTCTGTCAACATCAACTCGGTGCATGTGGCATATTGCGGGCAGCAATGGGCTGAGTCAACGAGCAAGTAGTGAATCTTCAAAGGGCAAATTGTCACAAGGGGCAAACTGCTCTGCTCACATGTATCATGGACCAGAGCGCAGCATGAGCAACAGCAGGGCCGCCTGACCAGTGCGCCTGTCCATTTCTCTTGCACATCACGAAACAGCAATAGCTGGACATATTGCAGGGCATATATACGAGTGTCTAGGATAGCTATTCCGCACCACGGAAAATGGTCATCAACATGCACAAATCATTTCTGGCAATTACCATTATTCACCTGCAAGCTGAGCCGGAGGGAATCAAACACACAATATACACAAACTGTAAGTAACTAAGGGTTGATTATCCATGAAGAATGCCATTGGATTTCGTTCACAGCAAGCAAATTTAGTTGTGGTTTCATTAGACAACGATGACCCATTTCATTCAATGAACCTTCGAGATGTTGAGGTTTGGACTTCGGCTGGCATGTGACAGAGATATTATGGCGCTCATGCTCAACTTCCACTGAATCAAATTAACAACATCAACAGCAGCACTTGCGAAAGGAAGCAGTGCCCTTCAGTGCCCCTTGCAGGTTCAAGGGTGGTGCATCCTGCGTCCAGTTTAGGGCACAAGGCGCCTGCTGAAAGTTTCAAGCTCTCTAGCAGTGGCGGGCATGGCATCTCAAACCCAGATATTTTGTCACTGCGCACCACTGTACTTGCTCAACTCAGTCCAGCAAAAGACTCACAGCACAAACGTGAAGTCAAAATGTGAAATCAAATTGGATTTCCACAATAGTACACTAAAAACACGTCCATATCAATCAGAATCTGTTTGTGCTACAACAGTGACAGATTGCTGAGACTCCTTGGCACCTAGTTCAAAACGTGCTGAACCGGGACACAATAGTGCACTGTACTATATTCAAGCCTTCTGCGTTTCCGAAACTTGGCGCCCAAGATGTCCGTTCTCTGCATTTGCTCAAATAATGCATCTCCACTTTCCTCATGCAGTAGTGCAACAGCAACCGTGCTTCAGTGCCAGCTTCTATCAGTGCAACACACATACCCAACGTCCAGGATCCCGAAGCCCCTTGCACCAATCTGTGTCTGCTTGAAGCTCTCAGAGATGCCGGGGTCGCTGGCAACATAAACGTCCCCCCCTCGCGTCGTCAGCCACAGCTTGTTGTCAACCGTCCAGCCCATGTTCTGCACCCTGCGGGCGATAGGACGGTTGTGGGGCGACCAGAATTGGTCCCCTGGGGACCAGGTCATGTAGAAGTTGCCTCGGGAGCTGACAGCCACATAGTCACCTGACTTGCTGCGGTTGATGTTGGCAAAGTAGCCCTCATAATATGAGGCACCGGAGATGCCTGTGAGAAAACGAACACAGCCAGATGAGATGTTGCAACCATGTGTTGCAACAAGTTTGAATCCTCTTGAACAACAAGGTTGGTTTGGGCAATTTTGGGCGTTTCTTTGCAGCAAGAACAATCAATGACCGCAAAACAACTAGCATGCTGGCCCTGACAAACCAGAAAGACAGAAGCATACGAGTGGATCAAGGGATGTTTGCACAATTACAAGCAAGGGAAAGTTGAACAAAGAGGGTTCGTTAAAATGTGGGACCAAAACAAGTGGAGTCAATGGAAGCAAAATGAAAGCAAGAGGGGTGCTGTAGCACAGCACCAAGGCCCAAGAGGTTGGGCGGGGTTGGTGAGGGATGGGGCTGTTGGAAAACAATACAACACTGCACTGAATCGAAACAAAGATGCATTTAAATTCTGTTTGCAACTGGCCCCACAAACTGACCAGTTTCACACTGATTCACTTCGCAGTAATGCCAATAATCTCCATGCAAGGACAGTGCTTTGTCAGGGTAAACTTGCTGGCAACTGTGGCAATTGGTGAGGATACATGCAGACACCGACCGCTGGACACAGTCCTGTTGAGTGTGGCATCCACCGTCTCTTGCACCGCTGCACGCCACGTGTATGCCCCATCACTTGTGACATAGATTGCACCCTGCACATGCCCACTACATGCTCAACATTCGATCGCATAGCGACTGGGCGACTCTGTGGCTACATGCATCGATGAATTGCATAAGCACAAAGGCATACTGCCACTCAGCTTACTGCACAAGGGCAGAAACAAGCACAACACTGTTTGCTTGTCATGACTTGTCAAACCTGGCCTAGGAAGATCCTTCCCAACAGTCCCATATGGGTGTAACTAGGTCTCTTTTCTGAATCTGCAATGACCCGTGTTCACCAAAACATGACATTTCACTGGCCTTGGACAATGTGCAAGGGTTGGTGTGAAGAGCTGCTCAAGTGACTTACAGTACTTCCGTAGAGTTCGACATCTGCACTGAATACATGCATCAGGGACAGGACAAATCAACGCTGGCTCATATGCTTGGCAACGTCTGGTCTTTGTCGTCACCACAAAGCACAATGACATCCTTGTACCTTCATGGCAATGATGGTCACTCTTGTGTCCATGTTGCCTGCTTCTGAAATATGTCAGACTGACCAATACAATAAACCCACTCAGACCTATGCACACTGGTTATGTGAACTGTACGTGATCCTGTGAAAAACACCTACAGATAAAAATAAATACAATAAATAGGGGCAAGTCCAATTGTTCTTTACCAACATTTCAGCAAACGCAGCCAGCGGCAAGTTGATTAAACTGTTGCAAGAAATTGATGGCTGGTTATTTAGTGCTTTAGGCCCCAGTGCCGCAACCACAGGAAACAAGGAAACAGTGCATAAACAGCTCAGATAACAATGGTGCCGTACTCAAGCCATCCAACAGCTGCACTCGGCTGAGTACATTGCTCAGCAAGTCGCAGCCCTAGCCCGATTCCCCACCTGGTCTGTGGTCATCTCTGCCTGCCCCTTTGCCCCTGGCAGTGCAGTGATCACAATGGGGGTGCCTGCAGCAGTTGAACAAAGTCAGCGGCACAGGTTGTATGCAGCTCGCTTTGGGCCAGCATCCAACGAGTTGGCTTTCTTGTGGCCCAATAGCATTGGGGTTTCCTTACAGATGTGAAAGGCAAATTAAACTGCCAGCAGACAATACGAGCTGGGTTTACTCTAAGGGCAGCATCTACTGAGATACAATGTCTGGATACTGGTAGAAAAGATAATGTTTCGCAGACTCCTATGGCAGTGCATGGGTGCATAAGTCCCTGAGCAAAAGCAGCCCAAGCAACTGCATGGCGATGTTGGGGCATATGGCTCCACGGTGTGTTTCCACAGTGCAGTCTCAGTAGTTACGCAATACAGTTGTATTCAGAGCATTCCACGGCAGATGCACCGATTAATGCCTTGTGCAACACAGCACAGGGAGTGCCTAAGTCCGCTTGCAAAACTACACTCTGTCCATTGCATGTCACATGATTAGACCACCACGTTGCGCAACAGATGCCACCAAACCTGGAGGTTTGTTACTGGGTCGTTTGTGCACCCATTTTTTACACCTACCAGCAGTCCATAGCAGGTTTGTGCGTTTTAGAGCCACTACACCACTGTCCACTGCACCAAATACACCACAGCATCCACTTACCTGGCAGTTTGCCACTGAGCGGTATGCGTTCCCAGTTTGCGCCCCCATCTGTGGTGTGCAGCAGGATGGCCGGCTTGCCAACGATCCAGCCCTCGTCACCAGCAAAGTCGATGGACGTGAATCTGTAGTTGAATCCCTCGTCCAGGGCTGCCTGGATGTCCCTCTTGGTCCATGTACTACCGCCGTCAGTCGTCTCAAGGAGGGTCTGCCGAGTGCCCAGAAGAAAGCCTGGTGGGGTTACCCAACAAAGATTTGTTACAGTGAATTGTAAATGCGATTCTGGATAGAGAAATTCTATGAAACAGCAGTGGCAGGGCACCTACCGTGGTTTGGGTTGCTTCCTGTGAACCCTATGTCCAACAAGACGATCTCTGGTGAGATTGGGAGTTCCACCTGGCAGGGCAGCCGAGGCAGTCTGAGCACAGCACTGGTGCAAACAACGAACCCATACAGGTTTCTTTGAAAGGCAAGGCTGGTAACCAGCGACCTTTCAGCAGAGGACCTTGGAGAAAGTTTGACACAAGGAAGAGGGACTGAGCTGAACATGGCCATTTGGTCCCGCCAGCAACAAACTTTCTTGTGGCTCATCTCTCAACTTCTCCAAAATGATTTCATCTTCATTCTTTTCTAGAAGAACGGCAAGCAGGAGACGTGAACACTGGGTAGGAGCCTGGCGCCATAAGAACACCTCTTAAGCCCAAAGCGCGCTGTTTGTACATTAGTTCAGACATGTATTCAGCAACACAATTGCTCAGCTATCCATTCCAAGCAAGACTTCCACTTTGTGGCGATCATCTGATGGGAAACTCAACTACCACCCTGAATTTCAGGGGGTGCTGTATGGACACATCTTGGACAACTGCCTCGAGGGAATATGGGCATTGCTTGTCAAAAGGGAAGTACACTGAGTCACACTTAGCAACAAGAATGGACAACAAGAAATAAGGCCCTAATTGCCACAAATCGTGCGTGCTTGCAGAATCAGAGACCCTCTTCTTCGTTGAGACAAATTTAGTGGTCCCCATGGTGGTCTTGTCATCGGCTAACCCTCATGTCAGAGCATGTTGCTGTTTGCGCATCACCTCAGCACACAAATCCAGATGATGATGGGAAGATACACACACTGTGGATGTCTACATGCTCAGCATCGCTTGCGCTGCACAAGAGGTGGACTTTTTTGTGATCTGAAACAAAGCATGGCATCAAGGCAGACACTCACAATGCCTGCACGGCCATGTGGTCCATTAATGGCACTCGTGCCGCACGTGCATTCCCTCGTGAGAAATGGTGCAAACGCATGTTGGGACCAGCTTTCTTGTTCCTGTTCTTGTCTCTTTCAGGTGACTAATACTGGACCCATTTGGAAGACAAATAGCAGTATCTCTGTTTGTTCACAGGATTCATGAGCAGCAAACAGTTTCAGTGGCCATATGCACCTTTTCCACACATTCCTCTGGCTTGCCACCTGCAGGCTTGCCTCTCAATGATGAGTGGTGACTGCGTTGGTTTTGTATTGCTACATGTGGAGTTTAGTGGGCTTCAGCTTAGTTGAAAGCTGTTTTACACTTCGAATAGTCCATGGCGCAATATACTGGCTCGCCCTGTGTTCCTCCACTTAGAATTCAGGGCAATATCAGTTCAGTTTTGTTTTGATAAGATTCAAGACTGTGGACATGTCTGCGGATTTCTGGCACACCTCGCATCAACACCATTCCATCCAAATTCTTTTGCCAAAATTCGCCTTCGAAAGACCAAACGGAGCCCACAAACTTTCTCCCGTGGCCAACGCGCCCATCAAGGACAGACAGCCGCCTCACATGCTCCCACGGCTCTCACAATCAACACGTCCTATCCAAATTCCTACACAAGAATTCGTCTTCGAGAGACCAAATGGGCCTCAGCAACTTTCCAATTGGGATGCTCCCATCAGCATCCATCAAACACAAAAACAGCCGCCTCACCTGCTCCCAGCTGGATGACACCACCCGGTTGGCCTCGGCGGCCGGTGGCAGGCCCAGTCCCAGCGCACCTGCGGCCCCCGCGGCGGCCGCCGCCCCTAGTACCACCCTGCGATCGACGCCGAGCGGCGCGTCCGCCCCAGACGTCGACGCCTCGCACCGCGGGCCGGATGCCGTCTCGCGATGCGGCCGGGCGCCACCGGCTGCGACAAAATCAACAATCGCAGCAATCGGCGATCAGTCCACAGGGATGACTCAAAAGGGCAATGAATACAGAGGGACAAGGGGGTTAGGAGTGGAGTGGGGGCTGGTGTGTTCGCCTCCAATGCAGCAATTGCGATCAGGGCGCAGGGATGATTTATAAGGGGCGCGGGAGGCAGGGTGGGGGCATATTCGCCAGGGCTGCCCGCTGATAAGTGGTCCGTGTTGCGTGGGATTGCGGGGAACGGCGTGGACTGAGGAAGAAAGGGGAGGGGGCAGGGAAATTGCAAAATAAACGTTAGCCTCTGCGTTACGATTCTCGGTCGCCGGGGGGGGGGGGATCGCCGCCGCGGAAGATCCGCTGGAATGCGCCCTGCGGCACCACTTTCCTTTTCTATTTTGAATGCCGACGCATGGCCGCCTCTTGAATGCTGGCCAGGTCCTGGGAGACGGAGGCGCGTATGGCGGCCCCAGCAATGAGCGCCGCTCAGCCCAAGGTGCCCCAGACCAGCGATCAGGCACAATTTTGCGACGGTCGCCGCGCATTCCATCAGCGGCAAAAGATGCCACATGCCCACCCCAGCGACTGGCGAACGCAGGCGGCCTTCCAGGACCATCCGTGATTCAGACAATCGAAAAACTGGGTGGCCCAGCGGCTGGAGGCGGCCGTGCCGCACAGAACTCCACGGCGCCGGCTCAAAGTGCCAACAAAAGGATCCACCCACCTTCACGGCGAAGCGCCGGCGCCTTGAGGCGATGCGCCGCGCCCCTGGCGGCCACGCCCGACTGCAGAGCCAGCCCGCTGGACGCCATGGCCGCCTTCACTGCCCGCGCACGCTCCCACGCGGCGGCCACAGCTCCGATCCGCGCACTGACGAATCCGGGGGCCCCGCTAAGCGCGCCGAGGGACGCGGAAAACTGGTCCGCACACGCCAGATCCATCCCGTGGCCGTCCATGGCCCAGGCAAAAATAGGATTTTTTCACCTACCTGTTTTACTGAATATTGTTTGTTTGCCTGTTTATTTGTTTATCCGCGTATTCTTCACCTACATCTGATTGTTTTAGTCGCTACTTTTATTT